GTTCCTGGGATCCCAGATCACCGCAGACTGTGACAGCAGCCATGAAATTAAAAGACGCCTGCTTCTTGGGAGGAAAGCGATGGCGAACCTAAACAGCATGATAAAAAGTAGAGACATCACCCTGCCAACAAAAGTCCGCATAGTCAAAGCAATGGTATTCCCAGTAGTCATGTATGGCTGCAAGAGTTGGACTATAAGGAAGGCCGAGCGTCGAAGAATAGATGCTCTTGAACTATGGTGCTGGAGAAGACTCTTGAGAGTCCCTTGGACTGCCAGGAGATCAAATCAGTCAATCCTAAAAGAAATCAACCCTGACTGTTCCCTGGAAGGCCAGATAATGAAACTGAAGCTCAAATACTTTGGCCACCAAATGAGAAGGGAGCACTCACTGGAGAAGACCCTGATGCTGGGAAAGATTGAAGGTCAAAGAAGACGGGGACGGCAAATGATGAGATGGTTAGACAGTGTCATCGATGCAACGAACATGAAATTGAGCAAACTTCAGAGGACGGCGGAAGACAGGAGGGCCTGATGGGATCTGGTCCACGGGGTCGCGAAGAGTCGGACTCAACTGTGCGACTGAACAACAACAAACCTTGTCAGAAGCCTTTTGAAAGTCCAGGTATATCATGTTGTGATGGACTGCACATTGAATGCAGGTTTCATAGTGCAGCTAAATCAGATAACTGGGAGATAAAGAGTTAACTCTTCCCTGGAAGGTAGAGCTTGAGTGACAGGCTGCTGCTCTTCTCTGATTGGCCAGTGCCAGCAGAGGAGAATATATGATCAGCTGAGTGCTGAAGGGAGTCCTCAGTTTTCAGTCTGGAGATTTGAAGTTGGAACCATTCTGAAGGCAGTCAGTTGGTTTCTGACAAGAGTTTTGGAGTCAGTGAATCTGACAAAGTAAATCAGGCAGGTTCACCCGTAGAGTGAAAGGACTCCTTGCCTTAACTGTAGTATTCCTAACCTGAGGAAGAATTGACTATAAGAATTCAAAGTCTAAGTGTCAACATAAGCTGAAGTCCCAGAACTCAGAAATAGATTTGGCAAGAGTGATTGGGGTAGTGTGTGGAAACTCCCTTTCAAGCCAAAAAAGAACAGGGATAATTCCTTTGAGGAGAAGAAGATTAATCCCTGCCCAGTGTCTCTGAAGGTTTAGCTCTGAAGAGGACCCTAGTCTGTTGTAAGGGAAAATGGTGTTAAACAACACAGGAAATAGAAATAAACTGTAATTTAACCAAGGAGTGAGTTAGGTTCACAAAGTCAGTGACTAACTCCGGGAAACCTGAACTGCCATAGGAAACTCTCTGATGAAACATTGTTGCTGTAATTTAAATATTAAGCAAAACACCTCATAAACTAAGAACTACGAATACCTGAAAATAAGCTTTAATAAAAAACATCATTTTGCCTGTTCAAAGAAGTGAATTCTGTATTATCAACAATTTTTACCTCAGCAATCCCAATCCCTGACTCCTCTACTGAATCCCTATCTGTTGAATAAACCTGTTCTTTTGTAAAAAGAGGGCTCTTGCTTTTCCACAAGTTTCTTGGGCTGGGCTAGAAGCCAAATTATATTCTGTGGGGCAGGGTGGAACAGAAATTATTTCAAAGCCCCCTATTATTTACACGCTACCACAGGCTGCTCAGTCACAGCAGGGAACCAAAGAATTTGGTGGCAAAAGTCCACACCAGTGTGAGGAGAGTGGTAAGAGGTCCGTCATACATGTCTACCTGGTAACCATTGTCTACATGCTTGTTCACTTTCTCAAAGAACTCCAAAAGTTTGTTGAGGCAGGACTTCCCTTTTCAGAAGCTATGCTGATTTTCCCTCAGTAGAGTTTGTCCCTCTATGTGCATAACAATTCGATCTTTGATTATAGTTTCTACTAATTTGCCTGGGACAGACATTAGGCTGACTGGCCTGTGATTTCTTGGTTCCCCTCTGGATCCCTTTTTAAACATTGGTATAACCTTTGCTACTCTCTAGTCTTCTGCGTACAGCAGCAAATTTAGTGACAGGTTACATATACAGATTAATAGATCAACAGTCTCAAATCTGAGTTCTTTAGGAGCTCTTGGGTGTATGTCATCAGGACCTGGAGACTTATTGGTTTTTAATTTCCCCAGTAGGTCTAGAGCTTCATCTCTGGTCACCTCAATTTGGCTCAGTTCTTCAGATTCCCTTCCTGAAAATAAGGGCTGTGGCTCCTGTGGTTGTTTCAGATTGGGACAATGACACAAGGGTATCCAAATCA